GGGGAGAATCAACAGCATCCTGGTGATATCTTCCATGCTACGGTCTGCTTCCTATCGTGCTACATAATTGTAAAATGCACATGTTTATGTCAGAGCTTGCTGTGTTGTCCGAGTTGACACATTTGGTCGGGTGCAACAGCAAGAATGTTGGTGGTCTAGACATCATAAGCAGCGTCTTTTAAACATTTGGTTTCTGTGTCCTCCTGGTTTTGGGAAGTGACAGATTAGGATGTCCACGTGTGAATGTCAAAACTGGTTTGTTGAAGTTCGATGATTTGCTCCACAAGAACGAGTTGTATCCCGAACAAAATTGCACAGAAAACTTGTGCAAAACGATACCATGTTTCCCTGGGTGAGCAGATTCTTTAATTGGCTGCATTTCTCTGGAGTGATAACAGTCACAATACATTCTTTTTTAAATACACACTGCTGAGGAAGTCAAGCACAGGAACAACAATATTCTTATCCTTTTATCATTTTTAAAATGAACTGCTGATCCTCCGAACACCATGAAATACAAAGAGCAGACGTTTGGTGTTAGTTTCCCTTCGGCAGTTACTTGGAGGACTAGTGCAGTTGCTGCTGTTGTTTGGACGGTTGATGAGATCATCATTAACAGCCAGCAGCGGTGGTGTTTGATGGGACTGCTGTCATGAGGCATCATTACATGCTGGTGGCCGGGTGTTTAACCTTGTGCGCTATCGCGAAAGGGGTGACTGCACTTTGACCACACTGCTGCGCCTGTAAGTAACATTTTTCTGCTTCAAGTTCCCGACTATTCTCGATACCCTGATTTGAACGTAGTCTGAGGAAGAAATACTTTCTTCACTGCTTTTGCTCCCACAGAAGAAAATAAGTCTTTGTGCTGGCTTTGTAGTGGAGTAAAACCTGTTAAAAGTGTCAGAAGGGAGACTTTATAAGGATTTATTGGAGTACTGAAGTAAGAATGCACCTTTGGGAGATTTCCCTTTTGACAGTGACGAGTTGTGAATGCTTGCTCAGTGGTCCAGGTAAAGCCATGTTGAAGATAGTGCAGTATTTGGCCTGGTCTTCAATGTTTGGTTGACATCCCCAGAGTCTTTTGTGTGTTGTGTTTCTATGTTTCTGTGCACATATTACTATAAGAGCATGTGTGTGTGTGTGTGTGTGTTTAGATCTCAGTGGCGGTGATTTCCTCAAAGTGGATGTCGTTGCTGCCACTGTGAACCTCATAGTCCTCCATGTCCCTGTTCTCCAGCTCCAGACTCAGCTCCCTCATCACTCGCTCAAGATCCCGGTTTCTGCGGTACATCTGGATGTAGTTCTGCTGCAGCTGTTTCTGGTAGCGGATTACCTGTGTGGAGGGAAGTACGGGAAGTAAGTAAATCAGTAGGGAGGATCAGCGTAAGCTACTTTGTCCTGTATGACATTGAATGAAAATGACAGAGATTGAAAGTCAATCACTAAGAAATAAGTGATCCTTTTTACCTTTTCCTTCTCCTCCTGCCACACCCTCCTCTCATCCTCAAACCGTGACAGTTGCTCCTCACTAGTCCTCCTCTCGTACATGAGTTCAGCCTTCAGCCTGTCCACCTGAGAGAACGAGAAAGAAATGTTAGAAACTGCACCGTTTCAGTGGTGGAAGAAGTATTTAGTTCCTTTACTTGAGTGAAAGTAATACGACAAATACGGTAAATCTTATATTTATCTTGTATTAAGTAAAAGTACAGAAGTACTACCAGCAACATGTACTTTTGTGTTTTAAATATAAAAGGTACTGATTATGCAGAAAAACTGGCATTCTTATCATATATTACAATATTCAATTATTTACACTGATGCATGAACATGAAAGCAGCATTTTGACGTCATTAATAGTAACTTCTAACTACTGTTTAGTGTTGTAGTTGAATATATAACATTGGATCTTATCTAATGAAGCTGTTCATATTCTTTTAGTCTCGCAAAGTAATAATTATAAGCATGAAATAAATGTAGTAGAGTAAAAAGTACGATATTTTCCTCTGACATTTTCATTATTTAATAAAAACCTTGTACCTGTTGTCTGAATCCCAACACTGCTTCTGCATTCTGCCTCTGAGCCTTGGCTTCATCACTCTCCCCTCCCCAGACAAGGTGAGTCTCCTCTGCATCTCGGTACAAAGACGGACTGGGACCGCCCCTCCCTGCCATCCCTCTACCCTGTTGGAGGGACAGGCTCATGCATTGCCCCTTCATGCTTAGATTTCCAGGTAGAGAGTGTCCGCTGTAGTTGGACAGAGTGTCACGGAGGCGGGCTGACTCTTCTTCCAAACGGCCCAGTTTCTCCCGGAGCAGCTCAGCTTCGCTCTTGCGCCTCTGGAGTTCGTTCTCGCAGACTTCTAGCTCCAGAGATCGTGTCCGCACGGCCAGCCCGGCCTCGCGGGATCGAGCCTGGCTGGCTTGTAGCTCAGAACGGGCTTCTCTCAGCTGGGCCTTCAGCACCACGATGTCTCCGGCCTTCTGGCTGAGCTCGGACTGGATTTCCTTCAGCTGCTGCTTCAGGAGGGAGATTTCTCCTGACTTCTGACACACCTGAAGGGTCACGAGCAAGAAAGTTAGAGAGGGAGAGATGGAAGTGCTGAAAATATAGAACTAATGGTCTATTATGACAGATTACAAACTGACATTTGCTTGTTCCTTTAAGGTAAACCTAAGATTCTTTCAAGCTTAGTTGCTTATGAGCTTAATTTAAGCCAACTAGGTGTCGACTCTGACACCTTTCTCTTGAAGGCATTTTATGCTTTTATCAGTAAATCAAAGCAAAGATCCCCTGCCAGACTCAAAGAGTGACCTTTAATCACTTTAATCACCCTCACCCAACACCTCTCCAGTGTCTGACTCTCACTCACCTCCCACTTTGTCTCTTCCAGACGTGGCCCCAGCTGGGTCTGCTCCCTCTGGATGGTGGCACACCTCCTTTCCAGCGTCTCTCTGTCCTGTAGCAGCGAGGAGAAGTCCTCCTGCAGCTTCTTTTTCTCCTGCTGTAGTTGAAATACCTGACGACACACAGAGATCCATATTTTTAATAAATTGCCTTAAATACTGAAACAGATATGTTGATGTAGAATAAGACATGCACCCTCAAAGAAGGACTCTCAAGACTCACAACTAAAGCACAAGACTAGCAAAATAAGTTGAACCTCTTTCTCTCTGTGTAAATGATTTGAAAGGGTTTTAACTTAGCATACCTGTAACTGTAGCACCTGTTGTGCCCTCTGGGCCTTCTGAGAAGCCTGCTTCATCTTTGATGCACAGCTCTGTCTCAGCTCCTCCATCTCTCTTTCACAGCGACGCTGCTTCTCCTCATACACCTTTCAGAGCAGAGGACCCGAGTGAGAGGTCAGAGGTCAATGTTTTATCTGTACTCACATTATATCAAGTTATTGATGTGGTGTTTTAAAGGTCATAGGTTGGGTCAGTTTGGTGTGGCGGGTGTCTTTATGTCTCACCTGGCAGATGGCAGCTTCATTCTCATCCAGATTTTCCCGGAGCTGCTGGAGCTCCAGGTCTCGTTCCCTCAGTTTCTCCTCCAGCTCCCTCACCACCGCCTCGTAGCCCTCCACGAGTGGCGGCGAGTGTCCACAGGACCCGCTGTCCGACAGCGGCTGCCCGCGCCCGCTTAGCGACCCCGAGCCTGTGCTCTTGCTGGATGAGGAACGTCCACTGTCTGAGTTAGTGTGGCCGTGGCTCCCACTTACACCTGAAGTGTTTCGGCCCAAGCCTTGCACGGGCTCCAGCTGGACCCCGGAGCCAGACCCGGAGCTGGAGCCCTCACTGGGGGCCAGACTGTAGCCTGTGCTGCTGTGAGTAGGGAGGCTGGAGAGGGAGTTCCTCCCTGAATCTGACATGGCGTAGGACTGGCTGCCCCGAGCATTACGACCTCCGCTGTAGGAGTTGCGCTTCCCTTCAGAGCTGGAACTGGTGCTCCCTGCGATGCCGTTTGCGCCGCTGGTGCCGTTGGACCCTCCGAGGGGCAGCAGGAGGTTGAGGCTGGCCTGGCTCTCTGACAGACTGCTGCCCCCTGGCCGTGGTGACAAGTACTGCACAGAGTGACGATTCTTGGGAACGACCGGTTTGAACGCTGTAGGACGGATCAGCACTTTTTCCATGTTCTGAAAGTACATAATTATAAAAAAACAGCATTAGTGGTTTATAAAAGCTCAGCAGCGCTAATTAGTAACGGCTGAATAAAACTCATTAGAGAGAGGTGAGTGACATGCTCCAGGCTCTGGTTTGTTTCATTTGGTTTAATTGATATTCATGAGCTTCATTAAGCAATTTTCTTAATTATTTTCCTAAGATATAGACAGACAGGCAAGAGAGGGAGGGGATTAAAGGGCAGAGAAACAAAGAGGGAGAAGATTGGTGGAAGAGGCGAGACAAAGCTCCTCATATGTTCTGGAAGCATTTTTCTTAGCAATCCTCCTCAGGGTTCACTAAATATAATGTGAATGTAAGCAAGCTCTGACTTTGATCATGATGTGTTTGCAAGGTGAGCAGCCGTCAAATGATCCACCAGAGCCGTAAGGCCAGTTATTAAGCTTCTCTCTGGATCGATGGAAATAAATAGCCAATTAAACAGCTGAGGTAATCTGCTGTAGAAATGCTCACATCGGTGCGTATTCTAGGGAAAGCAGAGAACAAGTCCTCTCGATGATATTTAATGTCTTGAGCTGTAATTAAAGGAGCACAAACAGCACTTATGGAGCTGGTAGGGATTATGTTTTTAAATTACCTCAAACCTAGTTTTGCTTTGTTTTATGTGCTGCAGGTTCTTGTTACTTATTAACAGCCAACATATACACTGAAACATCTGCAATAAGCTGAGTATCTCTGCCTGACCGATCTATCGATCTAGCTCTACAGTCTGCTCCTCTTACCTTCTCTAGCTGCCCGGACACTGGGATGAGTTTGGGAGGAGGCCCTCCAATGTTGCCATTGAGAGTCCTGTTGTCCCTTTGGTCCTCTGAGTCACTGCAGGGGCTTGCAGCTGCCACTACCAGGTTATCGTTCCAGTCTCCAATCACCACCTCGTCGCTCACAAACCCCAAGTTCCCATTCGTGCCACCATCTACTGCTCCAGCAGACGTGCCACCGCCTGTCCCAGCAGAGTTACCAGGCCGGGGCTGCTTCTTGGTGGGCAGCGGCGGAGGAAGAACCTGAGCCTGGGGAAGCGTTTGGTTGCTGATAACCAGCAGCTGCTCCAGGGAGCTCCCGCTGCGGAGGGAGTTATCCTGGAGCCGGAAGCAGCTGGTGGCCGGCGTGGAGCGGCGTGACTTGGTGGCGAATTCGCTGGCGGCCCGGCAGTGTCTCTCCTGATACGTCCGGCCTGATATTAGGCTGCTGACAGAACCCATGGCGATCCCGGAGCTGCAGGGCCCACAGGGGCCGGGGCAGGGGCCTGAGGGGGAATGGGATGATGGTGGCCGGCACTGCTGCACGTCGAGACCTGGATTCGGGTGGTCAGTCACGGTCACAGGTAATGCCTGAACCAAAGCCATGGCACCCTGACGGCGTCAGACACACCACACACTCTGAGAGAGAAAATAAGAAAAAGTATTCAGACTCTAGATGCAACAGATGAATATTTATAACAATATGTATAACACATAATACTTTCTTCTAACTGCCAGTGATGTCACAACCAAGTTTATGGCCCTTTAGCCCACTAAAATGTAAATAAAGTTCTCCTCATACACAGGACTTTTTACAATGAATTTCAAGGTAATTACTTACAAGGTACTAAATAGTCTGACTCCTCAATATCTCTCAGATCTTTTGCCCCCATTTGACCCTGCTCGTACTTTGAGATCCTCGGGAAAGGGCCTTCTATCTATTCTAGTCTCTGAAGTCTAAGGGGGCCAGAGCTTTTGAGATAAGAGCCCCAAGGTTTTATCGCACTGCCTTCCGTGATTTCATCTGACTCTAGTTTTTATTTTGTTTTATGGGTTTTACTATTCTATTTTATATGTTGCTCTTTGACTCATTTTATTTTGTTATTGCTGTGTTTTGTTTTGTATGTGAAGCACTTTGTTTTGATAAGCACTTATAAATACAAACAAAGCTATCATAATTATTATCATTACAATACATATTTTTAGTAGTAGTATTATTATTATGCACTAACAGGCAGGAACTAGGACCCAGCAAAGAGCTGCACTGTGTGAAAACCAGTGAAACTCCAGCAGTTTGAATTTAGGCTGCAGAGCAACACATAGAGATAGAAGACACGATACGATGAAAACTACAAGCCTACAAGCGCAGCATCTTTAAAATATTTCACCAGAGTGTAACGATACCAATGTCTAGACTGAACCGTTAGAGTTAGGTGATCAACTCTCACTGATTTCTCTCAGTGGGCAGTGAAGTAAATGTGCAAGCAGACACAAGAAAAAGAAGTGATACATTTCTGAGCTATCGCTGTGAAGCAGCTGGTTTTAGTCGGTAAAGATTATGAATTGAGTTTTACTCTTGAGTTGTATTTTCCACATATTTCCAGAGAAGGATACACCCACTAAAGATTTACTGAAGTGACATTTTTTTTGTGACAGTGGACAGTTTGATGACGGCTGGATTCCATCTGTGTATTTCAGGATCATGTTGTTCCACTTGAGTGGAACAGGCCCTCGTTACCGCTGTCAGTTACGCCTGTGCAAAAATGTCTTTTTTTGACTCAAGACAGTAGGAAAAGCACAGGTGTAAATAATAAAATGAATGATGGCTGTATTTCATTTAAAAACAATTTCATCTATGAAGCCAAATTATTTGTTGATTTTAGGCACGTTGCCACTCACAAAACTCATTATCTAGAGCCACTTAACAGCTGTTTATTTGAAACATCACATCCCCAGACGCCCAAGCAAAGGCTCATCCCTCATTAAATACACTCTATGTCTCTGGTGACGCCACTAATAATTGTCAGTGTGATTAACGAGACAGGAAGAGGAAAAAGCGGATGGATTTAGTAGAGACTGAGGATGACAGACAAAGAGAGAGAATGAGTCACGGTCATCACCATCTGCAGCTGCTCTGTGGTTTTCCTGATTCTCCCTGTCTGAACCTGGTGAGCAGTCGTCCGTGTATTACTTCTAAAAGGATTTGAAAACTAGTCGCTTCACTGTGTCATGATCACAGTGCTCATACGCCAATCACATTATCTTTGAAGAAAGGAATAATCGCCTCACTTGGTCACTGCACTATTTTTAGGATGAGAAACATGGATACATATTATTAACAACACAATAAAAAGGGACAGCAGATTAAGTCTTCCATTTGCAGATACTATTATCAGTGTTAGTTTAGGGAGGGGGGACAGAGAGGGGACACATATCCTCAGTCTGTGGAGCCAAGCCCAAATCTGTCTGGCCTAGTGGAATAATCCATGCCATCTATCTCTGCACACTGCCAGGACAAATACAATCATACTGACTGACATTCTCGCTCGCTCGCACACACACACACACACACACACACACACACACACACACACACACACACACACACACACAACGGCGTACATTTACATGAACATCCACACACACAAAACCCCCGGATGCATCAACAGGGCCCACATCATTCATGCAAGTCATGAATAGCAAATAGTCTGATGACATGAAAATAATTTAACCAAACAATTAAACTTTATCATAATGGTCAGGTTACATACATTCAATTTGACTTCTGCATTTAACCCAGGTTGTGCTTATGTGTCCTAAAGCAAGACACTTAACCCCAAAATTGCTCCTGTAGCTGAGCTACGATAGCTGTGCCTACGGTATATGAATGTGGTAGAATCTGATAGGCAGGTGTCACTTAGGCCCTGCCCTCAGTGTGTGAATGGGTGAATGATGACAAGCAGTGTTAAAGCGCTTTGAGTGGTCGGAAAGACTAGAAAAGCGCGATACAAGTACAGTCCGTTTACCATTTACGAACAAAAAACATTTAAACATTTACTATTTTGTGTTGGTATTGATTGTGTTGATTTTGTTGTGAAGTGGTAGTGTTTCCGAGCACCAGAATCCCTTTTAGAAAACCTTTAATTTTGCTGCACCATTGTCTGACAGCCTACTACATGCAGTCCTGGTTCTCCCTTGCATCCTTTCCCTCCCAGCAAGCATTACGAATAACTATATAAAAACCAGCCAACCCTCTTGCTGATGGTCTCGTTTACTTATGTAGGTCATATAGAGTCATCAGTATTACACTGAGTCTGTTTCATTACCAGTTAAAAGTTCCTCTAACTTTAAGTGCAGCACAACATTGTGAAACAATAGCTTGTATTCTGTTCGCCCCGGGGCCTCAGTATGCTTCAAATGATGTTGCTGTCGGATCAAAGAGTGTCTTATCCAGCACTAGATGGGAATTGAGGGGGAAAAAAAAAAAATCGGTCTAATTATTTGTGAATGATCACACAGCAGGGTGGTTGAACTCCTGGCGGTTGGCTATATATTGACTAAATCGTGAGCATGTCCGTGAGTATGCGACAGGGAGTGAGGAGGAGTGAATGAAAGGAGACAGACTTCATGAGCACACATGAGTCAAGGAGATTAAGATATGTGTGGTATGTGAGCTCTTCCCATGCCAGAAATAATCACGCCTCAGAACCTCCTTTCACCTTTTATCTAGCCGTGCCCACCTCTTCTTCACTCCCAGGCCTGACAAGGACCTCTCAGGCAGGGATAATAGAATTAACAACCCTGTGTGACCGTCAACCGTGAACCCCCCTCAGCGCTAACCCTGTGACCCCCTGATGAGTGGAGGGGAGCTGGTCTAACTCGGCCCTCCCACCCCTTTGACCTCCAAGGGTCAGTTTTGTTCTGGCTACTCGGGCAATAAATCCCAAAAGCTAATTTCCCCCTCTGATGTTGCTCACTGGTTGTTTCTTAAAGTTATTGAAGCCCTCCTCTCCTCCACTTCCTGGCTACATTCCTCTGAGAAAGTGAAAATAATTTTACCATTCCTCCACTCCTTCCTCCGCCTTCCTCATTACACACATCCTCCTCTGCTGTCAGCAGCAGAAGACAAGCAGAGAGGAAACATTGTCACTAAAAATAGAAAACATCTCAAGTGCCTGAAATCATTCTGATAGTCTTTCATGAGGCGTTTCTGTCAGCGAGGCATTTGATTCGTCGTTCAAAAATAAACTCCAATAGTGTTGCAGCCAGGTATTACGGGGTCAACCCAGGGCCACTTTACACCACTTCCTGCCACTCTAAAACTATCAAACGATTGTTGAATGGCTTTAAAGCATCCTCACTGCTTCTGACAGGAACTGGAAATACACCAAGTGGTTGTGAAAGTTTATCCTCCACATGCCACCAACTGGCCCAGGATCAGTAAGAGCAAAACTGACTGAAGAAAAGGGGTTCAGAGGTTGCTTGCTAACAGGATCCAGAAGTGGGGTCAGTGATGGGGAAATAATCCCGGTATGGTAAGTCTGTTCATAACGCCAATATTAGCCAGGAGAGGAAGCCCATTATTCAGCAGCAGATCGCCCCTCACAATCACATGCAACCTCCGAGCTTTTCCGGACACTCTGCTGGCCTCAGGGCGGAGTTAGAAAAAGAAGAATAAGAAGTGGGTTTAGCGGCAAGAACACAAAGGCGGGCTGGGTGGGGGTTTAAGGGAATTCCAATACCAGGTAGACCAAAGAGCGGCTCCATAGAGGCACCAGGCATCTATAATCCTGTTCAGACATTATTTGGCACATAGACACCGAGGTCTGAGCACCTTAAGATCTCTTAAAAGGAAAATCCAATGAGAAGACAGACATCATTTCATATCCAACCATCTCCTCTTCTGCTGAACACGATACAACGACGATAACAGACAAAGAGAGATAAAAAAGACACTACACTGTGGTGTTTTGGCTAGTCTTAGGTGACGTGAGCTATCACTGAAAACAAACCCCGCTGACGCGTCCTCAGTCCTGGAAAACCAGAGAGTTTATGGGTGCATGTTGTCATGAGATCTAGAAAGGCGAAGGCAGCAGATTTCTTGTGGAAGCTTGTTAAAACGTGGATAATGTGCATACTAGAAAAGTGTGGTGCTAGCCATTATGCTAATGCTTGGTTTTGTTTCATGGAGATACAAACAAATGCAATGTTTCCAGTGTGCTGGCTGATAAAATTGCAGAAGGTGGAACCAGAAAACGTTCTTTGCTCAATGAATAGCTTTAAATGATTACTTGTCTCTGTCTCACTTAAATCTGCAAGAATACATTTTTTAGCACAAACATTTACATATTATCACCTTATAAATTTGATGGCAAGCATGTTAGCAAACAATTGCTTAATTACGTATATCCAGCAGACAAGGAGCCACATTAGCTTTTACTTGGAAATCATGTGGACACTACATATACTGTATGTCCAATATTCACCTTTCTTTGAACTCTGTTTTGGTCTCTACCAACTCTTTAGGGAAATATCTGGCTCTTTAGCTGATAAAGGCTCCACTGTGTTTGGTGCTGAGCAGGTAGTGTACAGATGTTGTTGTTGTTGTTTTTTAGAGCTTTAAACAACAATGAGCCAAA